CATGGGCAACATCATCGAGTCCGGGCCTCAAATTCCCATGTGAGGCCGATGCAAGTACCTCTGGACCCTGCCAATGTAAGCATCCTTTTTCTGGGACGTGAAAGGGGGGGGTTGGAAAAAAAAAAATCATTCTTCCTTCTTTCTAACCTAACCAGGTTTCACGCCATGGGCTGGACGTTCCCGTGGTCTATCACAGCGGTCCGCGGCACGCATGTCTGCTTGCGCAAGATTGACTATCCCCTGATCTGGAAACTTCTCAAGGAAGAGGGCATCACTCACTTCAATGCCGCGCCCACCGTCAACACACTGCTCTGCTCCGCCAAGGAGGCCGAGAAGCTGCCCCAGGAAGTCCGGGTCACGGTTGCCGCCAGCCCCCCAAGCGGCCACCTTTTCGAGCAGATGGTGAGTGGCCGTCTGGCCGGCTCTTGCCGACCACCCATGTGCCCTTTGTTGCGAACATGGCTGACATGCGGCAGACAAACCTCAATCTGCACCCCGTTCACGTGTACGGTCTGACCGAGACGTATGGGCCGATTACCAAGGGCTACCAGATGCCATCGTGGGATGCGCTCTCGCCGTCGGAACGGTATGCCAAAATGGCGCGCCAGGGCCACGGCTTCGTCACGAGCCTGCCGATCCGCATCATCAAGACGGACCTGCCAGAGGGAGAGCTGGTCGATGTGGCCAGGGACGGCAAGGAAATCGGGGAGATTGTCTTTTTTGGAAACATCTGCGCAAAGGAATACTACAAGGATGCCGAGGCCACGCGGAAGCTTTTCGCTGGTGGCGCGCTTCACTCTGGCGATCTCGCCGTGTGGCACCCCGACGGAAGCGCCCAGATCCTGGACCGGGCCAAGGACATCATCATCTCGGGTGGCGAGAACATCTCTTCTGTGGCGCTCGAGAGCATGCTCATGCAACACCCAGATCTCCTGGAGGCTGCCGTCGTGGCCGTGCCTGATTCGCACTGGGGCGAGCGTCCCAAGGCATACGTGACAGTCAAGGAAGGTCGCCAAGTGGCGGGCGAGGACGTCATATCGTGGGCGAAACACCAGAGCAACATCAGCAAGTTCATGGTGCCTCGCGAGGTGGAGATCGTCGAGGAGCTGCCCAAGACGAGCACCGGCAAGCTGAAGAAGAACGTGCTGAGGGAATGGGCCCGGGGAAGCCGCCAGGCATGATTTCTGCCGACAGTGGCACCAGGCTGCACATTGTACATGGGATAATCGAAACACGATCTAGAAAGACTCGGGGCTCCCTGTTCGCCTTT